CCCCACCCTGGGTGAAGCTGTGACGGGGGAAGATTGCTGGGCCCTGCATAAGAAGGTGAGAGGGTCTTCTTGCAATTTCTTCCCAACCAAGAGGGTGAAGGGTGGGACAGGAAGGAATTCCTGGGAGAGTCTGCAGAAGAGGGGAAGGAATGTTACTAAGATGACAGGAGGCAGATGAGCAGCCAGAAATTCCTTAATGGAGTTTAGTAGCAGCGCAGTTGGAAGCTCATGGCCACTGGAGGCAAGATGCTGAGCATGGAAAGGGGCAAGGGGGCCCCGAGAATGCTAGTCCTGGGGAGAGCCCTGGAAATTTGAGGGAGTGAAGTTGGGAGTGACGGGGAGCTGCCCAAGGAAAATAAGAAAGGAAGCTTCAGTATTATTCGTAGCTCCCTAAAATCAAGCACAAAACTTATGAGCCTTTATTTTACATTTAGCTAACTTTCCAAATGTCCCACAGAGGATTTAAGAAAAGGAAAGTGAAATGAGATGCTTTTAAACAACAGGGAGGTCGCTAATCTTTCCACATTGTCTTCTACAAGTGCTGCTGGGAGTTTGATATTCACTGCATCTGCTCAGGAAAGAATTAGACTTATTGCAACAAAAACTCAATGCTGAGAGATCACATTCATATGAAACCTCTGATATGGGAGTGTATTAAATGCTACTTGTATATTACGCGTGCTATATGAGATAGAAAATCTTTCCCCAAACGCTTTGTGTTGTGGATTGTAACTCACTATTGGGCTATGTGAGTGGGGTCAGTTACTTAAACCTGCTTTATTGTGAATGAAGATATTTTATAATTCATGCATCTCTTATATAGGTTGTACAAGTTCTTTGACACATATTTGTTTTTAAGTATAATCTGTAAATTCTATGAGATATCGCCATTCAGGTATATGATTATATTTTTCTGGGTAAGTCTTCATGTTTATTCGTGGCAGTGACCTTAATAAAAATGCTGTATCACTATAGAATTCTTCAGGAATGACACATTACACCAACACTGTCCAAAAAAGAATGAATTCATCAAATATGATCAATTTTAATGTAGTTACTAAAGAAAGAGATATCATTTTATTATGACGCTGTAGCCATACATTTTCAAAATATGCTTATTAAACAGTAAATGTGAGATAATGATTCAGTTAGTTACATTTTTAGAAGTCATTAGGATTGATATTCTTCTGCCATAAATGAATAATAATTTCAAATACAATCAGAAGTAACTTAACAGAAAATATGCTTTTGAACTAAGACAGATATAATGAATGACCAATCATTGTTTTCTGGTTTCAAAGTAGCAGGGAAAATTAATTCAGTGTCTGTAAGCTTATCACACTTGGCCTGTAAGTGCGATAAAAACATATGAAGCAAAACACATGATGTAATCCCATTTCTCAGAGTTTCTGAACCCTTTTAGCAAAAAGAGACCCGACATGGTACTTAGGGACCTTATGTAAACTGAATATGAGCTGCATGATGCTTGAAAGTTTTTGATATTTTGAATAGACATGTTAATGATACACAGACACAGATAAGAGATGTGAGGAGACGGCTTGAGGTTTCAGAGTCCCTCCTGCAGTGTGTGTAGCAGCAGGTACAAGATAAATATCCGAACAAAATCAGATTAAGGGATTAACGGAAGTGGCTTGGCCCTGGGTGAGTGAGTGGGGCCAGCGGGGGGCTTGGAAGGGATTTTCGAGCCCCATATTCGTTTTTCCTACTTTTAGCCCAGTGAATTTTGGGCAAAAGAGAATGTGTAATGTTTATTTTAGGGCGATTTAAAACAGGGAAGGGTCTAAGGGTCAGGAAAGGTCATCTTGAAGGTGATTCTGCGGGGGTTAAGTAGGAGGAACTCTGTCTCCTCCATGTTAACTCCTATTTCACCTGGACAGTGATACTTGGACTGTTGTGTTCTCTTTTTTTAAATTAAAAAAATGTTCTCTCCCTCCCGCCCCCCACCCCAAAAGACCTTATCAATGACAGCTCAAGAATGGGGGGAAAGAGGGACCATGCTTAAGATCAATGCATAATCAGTAATTAAGAGGCAACATGTAAAATGTATGTTTTTAAAGAAGTCCCTTTAATTCTGGGGCTCCAGCTTGGTCAGCCCTCCATAAAATTTCGAGGCAGATGGTAAAAAATAAGGACTGGGAGGAACGAAGACAGTTTCCAAAATTCCCTGGCCCTCTGTCTTATCTATGGAGGTTTCCTAAAAAAGAAAGTATTGTTCCGGATGGGACTTGGTTATTTAAATTGGTATCTTTATCTTGTACCGTTCGCACTTAAAGCTTCAGATGGTCTTCTCATCTCCTTTATTTTTTAAATAGAAATCATACAAAAAAAGATATCTATGCATCAGTTTCTAATACCTAACAGGAAAGTCTTTTAGCATATTAAAATATTGATAAGCAAATATGTATTATAGGATTAAACACTAGTATTGAAAACAAACAAACAAACCAAAAACAAAGAACCAACAAAGTTTTCTTCTTGTTTTTGCCTCCTCAGATTTTGGACTTGATGATCATTGCAGGAGAGGGGCGTAAAGATCACAATTCTTCTATTTAAAGTAAATGATGCCACAATGATGCATAAGTCAGATTTATCTTTTGAAAACATTGCTGGGAAAGCCCAAGTGATTTGAGTGGGAATGCTCTTTCCTAAGAGGAGAGCCCAACAGGATCTGTCTCTAATGACTTAGGACAATCCTTTAAGATTGAAAATAGCAAAAACATTTTAATTAGTCTGATTAGAGTTTCAACGAATCAAACATACATTTCTATCTAGCCTATAGTTTTAAAGAGTCTGCTGGGTTTAACGTATCATCCCTCATTCCAATATAAAAGAAGAAAGAACCAAGTCATTTTTGACCATGAAGATATTCATAAAGACTGTATAAAGTAAAAAATAAAAACAAAAAGTCTTCACAGATTGTTAGCCATCTCTTTCAACGCTTCCTCATCAATTCTTCTCTTTCCTTATCAGTAGATAACCCCCATTTCATAAGGAAATACTTTCCAACACTTCCCCATAATATCAGTGATTGCTTTTAATGGGAGCTATTGCTCTTGAAATGTTTAGATGAAGGGAAAATACATCTTTTATAAACCAGTCAATGCCAAAATTTACTCAAGGGAGACCTGGCAGATGCTATTTTTAGCAGGTGAATCTATGCATTTTTTTCTCTTTGTATTTTCTCTACTTGCTGAATATCTGTTTTTGAGCAGAGAGCATACACACACAAAAATCAATAAGTGCCTTAATCATCTTTTTAGTTCTGCCATTTGCCTATAAGGTTTTTGTGGGGTTTTTTGCCCCATTTATATCCCATGCTTTTGATCAAGGTGTTCAGATTGGGTAACATAGTGCTAATTTTGCCAAATTTGAGAGCCAACAAAATAATGGAGCCTTGTGATTCTAAAAAATTTCCATCTTCTGCCCCACACCACCAAACTCACAATTTGGTGAATAGTCTGCTACCTGTGAGTGATAAGAAGTGGAGAGGTGGTGGTGACTAGACCTAGTGCTGCTTTATTAAGCCGTCGAGCTATAGAATTGTCGTTTTTACACTTTAAAAAAATATGTCTATGCTTTCTTTTTTTTCTTTTTTTTCCTTTTTTTAAGTCAAGTACTTTCTTAAAGAAACAATAGCACCACATTGGCATAGCTGGCCAAACAATAAATGGGAAAGCAAAATTGTGCTACATCTTCCAATTTAATCCTACTCCCAAGTTGCATGGACGAGTAACCGAACCCCTGGAGCCACAGTGCATGAGATGGTTCCATCTACACAAACATTGACATTCCCAGAGGGGAAGGATTCTCAGGGAGGCCAGGCTTTCTTTTTTTAACAGATTTTTCAAGGAAGTGATTTTTTTTTTTTTTTAGTATTCCACTGGACTCTAAGGGTGTGTGTGTGATGTGTTGGGGGAGTTTTTCTTTAGCCCTAGAAGAGTGGATTCTGATGGAAAGATACATTAGCTTTCTCAGTGGAGACTCCTCATCTTAAAAAGTTCAAATAATGCTGTTATACTATTTGGGGAAGTGGGAGCAGAAATTTGACCTAGGTATTCTGTCATTTAAATTGGAAATAAGCCTATACGTTGAAAGTTAATTCCCACCAGTATTTATGGCTCTTTCATAAGCATCCTGAAATTGCCACATTTTAAAGTTCTAAAGCAAAACTTATAAAGTTTTGAGTTGTGAAATTTTAGGTGCTCCCTCTCTGTCAATTCTGGTTCATTCTGCTGTAGGATATGGTGACCAACTGACTTTTAAAGTTGACATCAAATCGTCTTCTAGTTTTTATTCATTTGAAAATAAGATAGTGGGTTAGTGTAATAATTAGTTAATTCTTAATGAGTTAATTTATGATACAGTTGGAGAGGATTATGTGTTGAAAAAGTTAAGAAAGATGATATCTTTGCCTATTTAAGCTTTCCTCACTGGGGCATCTGGGCTATGAACAGAATTACTAAGCGAATCAAGTCATAGACATTCTTATAATTGCCCTATTCAGCTAGGTCTGGAAACCCATAGGTTGGCAGAAGATTGCATGTAAAGTGTTGCTAGGAGTTAGTGGTTTAAAAAGGTGCACTCTAGGAACAAGAAATAAAAAGCAGAAGTGCCATTTTGGGAAGAGGGTTTCAGCACCTCACTTCACAGAACCCATATGCCTGGAAAACAGATGAAGGGAAAAATGACTCATAGTTCCTTTGACATCTGAAGAGGCCTTCTTCTTGCATATGTTCTGAGATCTAGGAAATCTTTATTATTGTGTTTTTATTTCTGGCCTCTGAACCTTGAGGTGAATAAGTGGGATGAAAAGTAAACATGGTAATTTTCCCCCCACATAGATGTACTTTCCAAGAGTAAAAAGATAAAAATATGCGTGAAATAATCAAACCTGGTTGCTTTTCACCAAAAAGCTCTAAGGCAGATAAAAGATCTGAATGGTGGATGATTCATTGTTCTAATAAGAAAATCTTGGTACATAGACAGGAAACATTTTTTAGGTCACCATGGCCTGTCCTCACCATTAGATTTTCTTGATACCAAATTTTTAGTTGAATGGATAAGACACATCCATGGAGGCCTAGGGGTTACTCTCCTAAGTAGACATGAGGGAAAACTCCTAGTTGTGAAGGAAATTTTTGCCTCGAAACTAGTAACTCTAATCAAAAGTATTTTAACAAAAACCAAATTTTTTATATATATGCCAAAGATAAAAGCAAAATTTATTAAAGAAAGTGTGACATTTTATTAGATATTATTTCAATAGTTGAAATCTTGGGCCATTATTTTAGATTGCCTAAAGAAGGAATAACTGTGTTTTTCAAAATGAATAGAGTATCATTTATAATATTAAAAGAACTATTACTAGATTTCTAGTAACTGCCTGGAACAGTCAGCGAGTGCTAACAAATCGAATAATCACCCTTTTGCTGGTAGAAATCTTTTCCTTTTTCTCTTTTTTTCTTTTCATTTCTCTCTTTCCATTTTGTGTTTATGAACCCAAATGCAGAATTCAAAATCAAGTTGTTAATCAAATGTTTCTAACTTATTTTGAAAACTGTTTTAAATGAGATCAAGCTGCAACTAGCAACTTGCAAGTTGGATACTTAATTGGATAGCTTCATTGACAAAAATTGGCATGTCAGGGGCATTTGGCTAATTAATTTTCTAGCTATGCTCTGAATGGGCTGTTTATAGAATTCCTTGCATCCCAGCAACTCAGGGGCTCTGACCTTGCACCCTCATAGCAACCCAGGATAATAATCTGGAGCTTTATCTTTTTAATCCTCACACCACCCCTGTGAGGTAGGAAGATGGCATATTGCCCCATTTTGCAGATGAGGAAACTGAGGCACAGAGAGGTGAAGTGACTTGCCCAAGGTCACAAAGTGGTGAGTCCATGGCCGAGTCCTCAGATGTTTGTTTCTTTTGTGAGAAAAAGAAACCAGGACTGCAAAATTCCTAGCCTTCTGCTTTTTCCACTCCTCTCTGGACTCGCCAAACGAATCTGCATCAGTGGACTTTGCGTCTTCGGTCTCCCTTGGAAGGCGTGATGGGGGTACTCTGCCTTCCTCCCAGGTGGACGGATTCTTAGTGCCCTTCCCCTCTGTGTCACCTTTGGCTCCAGGCATCCTGTTTGGTTTTGCTTTCGCCTCTTACCGTTTTGGCCAGACTCTTTCATATAACAAACTACAAAATAGCACCATTGTACTAAAAAAAGAGAGTTTTACATACTGTCTGATATATCCTGTATTGTCAATATGCGAAATTTACATAGTGCTCTATATGGAAAAAATCAAAGAGAAGTTACTAATTAGGTCGCACACTAACTCGCCACTGGAAGGAACTGTTGAGAGTTGAGACTTTCTGTGCTTAACACATAACACCTAAGAACGTTTGGCCTCAAAGTTGCAACTATTTGCATTTTCTTTTGAGCAAGATGTGGAAAAATAAAGCTTTGTGTCGAAAATAAATGCACCCAACTTATATTTGGTACAAATGCCACAGGCAGGGTCTCGTGGGTAGTATTGGTGTGCTCCTGGACTGCGCACTGCCGCTACGGAGGAGGCCGACTGCAGCAAATACAAGGCGACGAAGGGGGGCGGGCAGGGACAGACAGACAAGGTCATCAGACGCTGCAAAACAACTAGCCTGTGCTGTGTAGAAAGAAGTGCAAATAAAAAAAAATTAATAAACCACTTAGACAAGACTGCTGAATGAATGGCTCCAGCAGCCAAGATTCAGAGGCAAATTTAGTGCAACTGGATCTAGACAACACCCATGCATTTGTGGCTCTTGAGAGGCAGGGACTAAGATATATAGATGATAGATGATAGATAGATAGATAGATAGATAGATAGATAGATAGATAGATAGATAGATAGATAGATAGATATATTTTTCTCTATAGAATGTTATTGATAAAGTTTCAACAGCAATCTACCAACGCCAGGACCGTTTTTGCAAGGTGCAAAGCTTTTAACAATCACTCCTAAAGACAATGTTTGAAATGGTTACTTGTGTATTTCATGGGGGAAATGCCCATCTTTTGAAATGTTATCAAACTTATTTTTTGGTAGGTCTTCTGGTGTTTAACTGGTGACTCATGCAGAGCAAAGATCCTGCCGGTGGCACGCCTTTCTTCAGCCTCAGGAAGGTCCTCCTACATTCTGTAGTTCTTATTTCCCGCATTCCCTCTACTTGTGTTCTTCAAATGTACTTCCTGAAAACAAGGGACAAACAGTGACATTAACTCGGTGAAGTCTCAGGCACCCTCTCGTCCGCTTCTCCCATCGGGTCTCTGCCTTTCACAGCTCATGCCTCACGAGTCGACCTAACAGAGAGCCTGGGCCAGGGTTTTCTGAGAAAGACGTATTTAAGGAAATAGGCTCTCAGTTTTTAGTTTAGCTAAACCTCACTCAAGCTACTTCTCTGTGCGCTGGTGGCATGGGGTCCACAGATGCTTTCTAACCACACAAAATACTCTGTTTGTATTCATCTGCTGCTATCACAGATTCATTGATAGAAAGGAGGTCCTAAAAATTCAGTCTCCTGGCCTGTGGCATCTTTTCTCAGTGAGGAAAAAAATCATATTTTGGGGTGATTCTCCATTGTTTTATTGCATTTTGCTCTGTTTTAATTTCTGTAAAAAGAGGATATTTCTTTTTCATTTTTTTTTTCCTCTTTGAAGAAAGACAGAGTTTTAGAAGAGCAGGAAAATTCGTAACTGATTTAGAGTCTGTAAAATCACAGACATACTGAGCTTGGCTCAAATCCCAGCTCTTCCATTTTCTAGCTCTGTGCACTACTTCAAGTGACAATCTCTTGTGTCTCAATTTTGCCCATTAAGTAGGATAATAATAGTTTTTACCTCGTAGAATTAAAGATTAGAGAATTAATACGTAAAAGCACTTACAATAAATAGGTCTGGCACATGGTAAACACTATATAAGAATTATTATTATTAATTATTATTATTATCTTAGTCGTCTTCTTATCATTATTTCCCCTTTATTGGAGAGGAACCATTCCTGGACTAAAACTCCAGGGTTCCCTGCTTTGATGTTACCATTCGCTCATCAACAAGCAACGCTTTCATCCGAGGGATACCGAGTTTTGCTTAGAGCAGAAGCCCCAGAGTAGCAGGGGCTTCCTGCTCAGCATCACAGCCCCACCTTTAGCACAGCACCCAGGATTTTGCACGTGTTCACTACATAGCCGTAGAATGAATTAAATGAATGAATAAATGAGTTTAATGGACTCTGGTAATGTGCAGAATCAAGTTGTTATACTTTCCCCATAGTTATTATTTTATCCTCGAAGACATTTCAATAGCAAAGTTTATCCAGACTAAGAAGATGTGAAATGAAATCCAGGAGGAAGGGGCATTTGCACCATAAATACGAGGTGCTTTTTCTCTTGGTTTCACCTCTAGCCAGGACGCAGGTATAGGAGAATGTAATGGATAATTACTGGGACATTGGGACAGAATAGGGTTTAAAGATCTACAGAGGCCTTTTTTTTTTTTTTTTTTTTAAAGCCTTTTTTC